TGGCTCGGCTTAGCCGGCTTCGATTTTCCCCTCTCCTCTCTTACGACCAGCCAATCAATCCTGCCCATCCGTCGATGGCTTGGGCGACGTGGCCCTCTCCTGGCCGTTTGAGTTGGTGCACACAAAAAGCTGTGTGTGTACCATAGCGAAATTGCTAAACCTAGGCCCATGTAAGCCAACTCAGCCCAATAAGCAAACCAAGCCCAATGAGAAACGCGGAAGCGTAAAGCGTACAACGAGAAGTTTATGACAGAAGGCTATAGACTAGGCATTAAGTGGGGCGAGTGAAGTATAGGTAAAGTACGTCGATAAGACAGCAGTAGTACTAATCATACCAACACTGACTCAGCATTAATGCGACCGCAAGCATGACCTCGAGAAAGTGACTCACAGTACACGCATGGCAGAGCATTAAATGCTCGTACGAGTGGTCATTGGCTATAAATACCACCCAGTCACATCATCTAATGTTAATTGAACTACTTACTCTTCTCTCTACTTTCTCTTTCTGAATACATTCTTAGGGGTGTTCAAATGGTTACCATGGTTATAACCAAACCAAATAAGGCTAAATTTCATTAACCATGGAATACAATATTCGTAACCAAACCGTCCAAACTAATACAACAACCAAATTAACCAAACTAAAATTTAATCGGTTTGGTTAATTGGTTAACCAGATTAACCAATATAAAATCACATTATCATTGATGATGAAATTTTTTTGGTTAATGCAACAATTCGCAATTTATATATGAATAAAACATAACAATCAACACGTACCCTTAACAAAAATACATGCAACTAAGACAATTATCTTACGATTAGTATAGAAGTATTCACCTAACAAAAATTTATGACAATGGTATGGGTTAATGAATTGTTGTGTTTGTGTAAATTGACTTAGTCTCATAGCAATTATCATAGGCTGGAAATGACTTTCCTTTCAAGTTTTCATCCATCATAATGTATGAAATTTATCTAAATTAGGCGTCCATATGTTGTAGTCTACAATTTATATATACAAATATACACTATATGAGCAATATTGAGCTTTATATTTTATATGAGTCTAAAAGGGATGAACGTTAACTCTTGAGTGGTTATGCAAAGTATTAAGTATGTGTATATAATATATGTTAGATATATGATTAATTAATTAAGTGGTTAATTTGGTTTGACTGGTTAGGAGTGTCTGAAACTAAACCAGACCACCTAAACCAAACAAGCTAAAAACTTTAACCAAACCAAACCAAATTATCCATATATTATCGGTTAAAACGGTTACCACGGTAACCAAACCATTTGAACACCCTTATACATTCTAACTTACTCTTTGGAGAGTGTGCGAGGTTATCGCCTCCGGACCCTTGATGTAGGAGTCAACATCACCGCTACGCATCCGATGAGAGACAAGACCCCAATGAAAGTGGTCACCTACACTCGGCAGCACTTGGTCGAGGATTCTCCATCGCCTGTGCGAGATTTCTCGGCCAGCTGCCCGATACATTCCGAGCTTAAACAACCTTAGCACAACACCTATTATGGAATCGTAACAACATATGATGATTCTTTCGGCAATATCAGACGGTGACTTATTGTCATTGCTCCCCTCCCCGCCTCTAACAAAGACCCTGCATGGAGAGAAAAGGAGAAACAATACAACGAAGGATTTAGTTTAACAGTCATGATCTAACAATGACATAATGAAAGGAACTGAGATCTAAAATAATACGCAGTCTTATCATTACCACTGCACCCAAAAATAAAGCATGAGACAGGAGGACGAAGAGGCGGATGGGGTTGATTTTCGGAGTTTCATATTGAGAAGATGGAAGAAAGGGTTCTTTTCAGGGATTGAGAGGAGGAGGAACGAACAGCAGCAGGAGATGAGTGTCACTCGGGTTTCGGAGCACGGTCTCTCCTTCACTGATTAACGAATTTATAGATTGACTCGTAATTACTTTTACTTTCCCTCCCTTCACATTTACTGAAAATTACACTCCCTACCACTGCCTCAGCCTTGGTAACGCCAGCATTGGTTATGGGCAAAAGCGACTTTCCGAATTCGGCAATATCTGATTGGGTGACACGCACGCGACAAGGATCAAAGGTATTTCACCATCGGATTAAGGGAAAAGTTTAGGAATTGACGGTGGGAAATGGGGATGTGCTTTTATAAATAGTCTGAATTTGTAGATTAACTAACTTTTTCGTTTACCAACATTACTCTATTGATCTAGTTTATGCTATCCTAACTTGAATCATAACCCTAAACCCTAAACCAAACCCTAATACACGAATCAATCAATACCATATACTCTACAACAATAACAACACCTTATAGGCTTATACCGTAACCAATCAATAACATATATACTTTAAACCATCAACACCTTGCTCCTCCCTTATACCATAACCTTCAAGACCTTATACTGTATACCAACAACACCTTCTTCTATCTCCATCCCCAACTTTCAATTTATAATAAGTGTTTCCTTTGAAATATTAAATGGAACCCACCTTGGCAATTGCTAGCATAATTTAGGGAAGTAGATGAATAGAAATTGATAAGTGATGAATTGCTAAAATTGATGATGTGGCGGTAGGGACCTTGTTTAGAAATTGTTGTTCAATTTTAGGGATGAAGATGATCAATACACTAACCCAATACCATATACTCTAAACCATCAACACACCATCAACACCTTATACAATATCGTATACCTATACGCTGATAAACTTTTTGCCCAACTAGATTACATAGGTACTTCAAAATTGAAATTATAACTTGCTTTTCAAAACATAAATTAAAAATTGATACTCGCTAAGTATCGAACCACAAACCTCTACTTTATTGACTAAGAAAATAAAGGACAATTAACCAATTAAGCTCCATCACATTGATGACCATCTTGCATAATTTCGCTTTCTTATTAAGTGAAGGGTTAAAATGAACGATAAATATATCACAGGGGATTGTTTCAACTTCGTCGGGGACTGAGAGAGTGGAAAAGGGGTAATTATTCTTCCAAAAAAGAAAAGAAAAGAAAAGGGGGAATTAACGAAGAGTTAAATTGAACGGATTGTCTTTAGCACACCACTACCACCCAAAATCCTTCGGAGCAAAGACATGTTGGTTCAAGTCAAAGAATAAATGAAGAAAGATGAAGTTAAGAACTCTAACTAATTTTGATTCCATATGTGGCGAATCGCTAATGGCCGGGATAACCAACATGGCAAAATCGTTAATGAGAACCTACTTTGCACACACCAAATCATTTTATCTCGTACCGATAAATGTGTAAAGAGACATGCTACAATAATTATGTCTAAATTTCCTGATAATAAGGCATGATCAGCATTTATAAGAAGATGTTAAGAAAATATAAAATCGAGAAAAATAAAACAACACCTACCCTCAGCCGAACCAATCAATACAATATGCTCTAGACCATCAACAATTCAACACCTTATAAACCATCCCATATACCATATACTCTAAACCATATACCATATACCATATACTCTAAACCATCAACAACCTAATACACTAACTAGTCAGTAACCATTAACTTAACCATAAAACCCTTATACAATAATCGCATACCTATACGCTGATAAAATTTTACATTTTGAAAATACTTGCCCAAGTAAAGTACACAAGTACTTCAAAAGTGAAATTCTAACTTACGTTTCAAAACATAAATTTAAAAAATGTCCTCACTAAGTATCCAACCACAAGCCTCTAATTAGTCTACAAGAGGTTTGTTATGTCAAGAGGGGCAAACAGTGAGAGAGTGGAATAGGGGCAATTAATAAAGAGTTAAATTGGGTGGATTGTTTTTTACCTCGTACCGATAAATGTGTAAATAGACACGCTACCATTTACCGAATCCCAAAAAAAAGATGGAACACATAATTGTGTTTAAATTGCGTGAACGCAAGACATGATCAGGATTTAGAAGCAGAAGCAGACTCAAATGTAAATAAAAGCCCAACCTCTTCTCAATCCGGATCATGTACACAAGCCCACTTTTGAAGAGAATTTAAAAGCCCAACTAGACTTTATCCTAAACGCACTGTTAATACATAAACACAAGTTAATTGTGGCGAAGAACAAAACGCCGATTGTGGATACAAGGAAACAATGAAACAATGATTATGTGGGGATTTTAGATTCCGGTCGGAAATAAAATGGCGAAGAACAAAATATCGATTGTGGATACAAGGATTTGTGGTTCAAAACGATGATTATGTGGGGATTTTAGATTGAAAATGGATCTTCTCTTCGAACGTGGATACATAGATTTGGGGTTCAAAACATGATTATGTTGGGGATTTGATATTGGATACGGAGCTAAATCGAATGTGGATCAAATGATAAAAGGATTTCAGATTTCAGAAACGATGATAAAATGATTATGTTCGAACTTCAAACTAGGGATGGCAAAAATATCCGTAATCGTGGATATCCACCCGAATCCGACCTAATCGGGTAGGGTAAAACCCGAACCCGAAGCATTTTTCGTGGGTACGGGTAAAACCCGAACCCGAATATTGCGGGTAATGGGTGGGCATGTTTATCTCACTATCCAACCCGAACCCGCCCGATTATACACATGCATATGTATTTTGTCTAGAAATAATCATTATGTTTCTCTAGAATATTTTATATTTAGCATATAGATATAATATTTTCATGAAATTATTTTATTTTAATTAATTTTCTTCATTCTAGTGAATTATTGTCGTACTTTTCCTCTTACGTAATGTGAGTATACGTGTGAATGTTAACATATTGGTTGGAATTATAAGGAGAAATTATTACCCATGGATAACCGTGGATACCCGAAACCCGAACGGGTATGGGCATGATTTTTATTTTCTACCCATTTCTAGTGTGGGTACGGGTATGGGTAAAATCCGAATTATATTGGGTAGGGTAACGGATATGCACTATCCGCCCCGATCCGACCCATTAACATCCCTACTTCAAACTAAGAGGGGACGTCCCCTCCAAGACGAAGTATCAGAGCTTAAAGAGGTGAAATTTGATTTATGACCTTGTCTGAAACCTATGCATATGCATATGGCCAAAATGGTCAGAGGTGCATTAAGCAATAAGCACCATTTAATAAGAAAAACAAAATGAAGTTCGTGCATGATATTAGTCAATCCTGTAAACTTGAAGGATTGAATTGGCATACCCTTGAAACATTGTGAATTACAAAGGAAAATTTCAACAGATCCCCTTCGGGCTCACTGTAACACTGTTTAGTGCTGTTCCCGAGTGTTGTACTGTTGTTCATCGTACTCGACCGATCAGAGAACTCATGGGCTGTTGATTTCGGCTAAGTGGTAGCGACTCTTTCTTCCTTAGGGAGCGGCAACGGCGGGAAACTGCGATTGGAGGCAGCTACGATTGATCTAGAAAACCCCGATAACTGCTCTTTTCGCTCATAAATCTCCGCTGAAATTTAGGGTTCTTGGCCGCGGCTAACCATTGAGTATGTGGAGGTCCGTAGCCGCCAAATCCAGCCGGGTTACTCAAATACTCGACAAGGTACTACTCCGACCTTCATCTCATTCGTCCCCGCATCATCACTTCAGATTTCTGCCCATTTCTTCCTCCGCCCCCCCTACCCTAGAAGAGACACCGCCACCGTCGCACTCTGCGGCGGATGGCTTCGAGTTCCCCTCTGCTCCCGTTCACCATGATTTCGTTGAGAGTGGTGACATCGAGTGGTTAGGGGATGCCGAAACGGCCGTTGGTATTGAGGAGGAGTTGAACGAAGCTGATAATTTCAGCCCTGAAACTGCTGTTGATGAATTGCCGACAGAAGAGCGTGTCTACGAGATTGATTCAGAGAAGTTGGAGAGCGTGCTGTCTCTGCTGCAGAGCAGTGCTGATGGATCTCTTGAGTCGACGCTTAATGGGTTGGAGTTGGATTTACACGAAGAGTTAGTGTTGAGAGTGCTCGAGACGCCGAACCTTTTGGGCGAAAATCTTATTAGGTTTTTCAACTGGGCTAGAAGCAAGCAGGTTGGTTCAGTCGTGGTGACTTCCCACCTGGCTGAGGCACTTGTTCGGGCGATATGTGGTGGTTGTCACATGAGGAAGAAAGACGCATATGCACTGTGGGATCTGATTGTGGAGATTGGTGATAATCATAATAGTGGGGAAGCAGGCACAATGTTGAATGCACAGATTATTAACCCGTTGATTTCCCTGTTATCCAAGTTGGGTAAAGGCAAGGCGGCTTACGATGTTTTCATCAAGATGGGGGATTTTGGTTGTGTCCCTGATTCAGATACATACTATTATACAATTGAAGCACTCTCTAGAAGATCGTTCTTTGATTGGGCGTGGGAGGTTTGTGAGAAAATGCTGAATGTGGAAGCTCTTCCTGAGGATCATCAGAAGGTTGGAAAGATCATCGCATGGTTCTGCAAAGCGAACAGGGCAGGAGATGCACATATGGTTTATTTGTTGGCGAAGGAAAAAAACAGGTACCCACCACGGCCGGCTACCAATTTTTTGATTGCTTTGCTTGCTCACAAGGATGAGACTGTAAAGTTAGCTCTCGAGATGTTGGATGACTGTTCTAGGGAATCTAGGAAATATGCAATCAAACCTTTTGCCTCTGTTATGCATGGTTTGTGTAGATCTAAGGATGTTGCTGAGGCAAAATCGTTGCTTTCTAAGATGATTGCTGATGGTCCGCCTCCTGGAAATGCTATTTTCAATTCGGTGATCAATGCTTATTGTAAAGTTGGGGATATGGATGGAGCAATGAAGACAATGAAGCTGATGAAAAGCAGGGGGCTAAAACCCGATGTCTACACTTACACTGTGGCTATGAGTGGTTATGTTAGAGGTGGCTGCATGGAAGACGCTTGCAAACTACTTTCAGAGGCCAAAAAGAAGCATACCAAGTTAAGTCCCGTATCGTACCATACACTTATTCGTGGGTACTGCAAACTCGAACAATATGATAAGGCCTTAGAGTTGTTGGCAGAGATGAAGGAGTTTGGTGTTCGGGCTAGTGTAGATGAGTACACTAAGTTGATTCAGTCCCTTTGTTTGAAGGCCTTAGATTGGAGAAGAGCAGAAGAGCTGTTGGAACAAATGAAAGAGAGTGGCTTGCATCTGAATGGCATTACTAAAGGCCTTATAAGGGCGGTGAAAGAGCTAGATGAGGAAATAGGATCAGATGAAAAAGTAAGCATTGAAGCATAAATGTTCCTCAGGGATTTGTCTGTGAGCAGCATTTTGATATTTCCTTCGTTAGGCTTTAGTTTTCCTTAGCATATCGCTTCAAATAAATTAGATTGAAGGAGAAAGCTTCAAACAATTTTGTTTCTGTGACAATTCATCTCTCAATGCTTTTAGTTGTTAGGCTTCTGTCTTTACATACTCTCTTGCTCTTTTGATCCGTTCCCTTTATCTCCATTCATTAGGGTCTACGTCCCGGTACCCAGTCCTGATTCTGCTTGATTACTTGGTACTCTATGTCTGCTTATTTTGATGATTGTTTCTCAGTCCTTCTCATTTGTAGGCTATGTACCATTAGTTGTGTTGTTTTCTGCAGACTTTGACATCATTAACCTTGAAGCCTTGGCTTGAGTTTTCTGTCCATAATTCTTTGTTTGTTTGTTGATGTGTGCTTGTAGTAGCTACTTTAGTCGAGGTACCAGAAAAAGAGAGCGTGAGAAGGGTGGGTGTCGAAATTTAGTTTCCTGCTTTTGCTAGCATGGCTGTTGTGACTTGTGAGCTTAGCTTAGCTAATCTGACATTGTTCCTGCTCCACAAAATCTGTTTCTGCTGTTTTATTTGTTTATTTCTGTATGATTCTTGGCCGGGCTTCTCTCTGGTTTGTTTTTGTTATTTATTACGTAGCACACTGCACATATTCCCCAGTTCTTTTATTCTTTCTTTTTTAAAAATGTTTTTGATAGTATATTTTCTTCTCAGCGTCGTCTAGTCTACTGCCTCTTATTCCTAAACTAGTGGGGAAAAAACCCTAAATTGATCATCTCACTCACATATCGGCGGTGCTGCCGTCGCTACAATTTCCGTAACCCCAAATTTTTTTTTTGGCAAAATACACTTGTATAGCCAAAATTTTGACGATTTTGTCAAATATAGCCACTTTTGACGAAATACCAAATATAGCCATTTTCATCCAATTCTTTGACGGCGTTACTTACGGTGCTGACTGGATTAACGGATAATCCTATATGGCGATTTTCGTCCGGTAAGTATTTTCCAGGTGGAAAAAAAAAAGATAAGGGGAACAGATCAGCCACTCCCTCTCTCTTCCTTTTCATTTTTCCTTTCTTTCCTCCACAGTCGACATCTTCCCTTCGAACCCTACTCGCCCGACGCCCCCGACGAAGACAACGAACAGCCCAGGCGATTTCCACAACGGCGGCGGTGTTCGCCGACGAGGAGCGCCCCAGCTTCCGATCGATCCCGGCAACGCCAAAAAACCCCTTTCCTCCTTATACCAGATTTTTCTCCCATCCACTCATCCCATCCCAAAAACCCCTTTCCTCCGAGTCGGCGGCGATGCTTCCATGTGGTTAATAACGGGTCGGCGAGCATTCCGGCGACGCGATTGAACTCTGGTGAGCTCAAATCGACCATCGAAACGCCAAGAATCCGAATTCCAACTCGACAGAAAAAACCCTAATCCTCAGGATGCTTTTGGGAATCTCGGGCGGTTGATTTCCTGGGCTTCTTCCTTTCATTCGACCGGTAAGTGGCTGATCTGGTTGCCCACCCTTTCCTCTTTTCTCTAGTCGCAAATGTTAGATTGGGGGTGCAGTGTTGTAAAGGTGTTGCTGCCTTCGTTTTATAGATCGTTGCGGGCAATAAAGGCAGGAAAGTGACACAACAAAGGCAGCTCGGGACCACTGGTTGTCTTCTTTCTCGAGTTTGCCCTTGAAATCGAAGGTAAGCAGCTCAAAATTCTGGGTACAATTGTCATTGGATTGGAAAACCCTAGGACAGAATAATGTTATTAGGTGGTTCTGCCTTTGTTGTTTAGTGAATTAAAAACTAATTAAACTAGGTTAGTTACTTAATTGTGATTAGAGGGTTAATTAATTAAGGGGTTTTATGGTACTGTTCAAATAGAAATGAATCCAGCATTGAAATGAGTTCCATGAATGCTTACTGCTTTTAGTTTAGCCCCAGCTTTGTAGTAAAAAAGGAAGGGGATTCACCAAAGCACAGCCAAATTTAAGCATCAGAGTGAATATAACTAGTTGAGCAATAAGTTTCCACTTAACCTGATTACTTATTTACTGCTTCTAGTTTAATCGATATAACTAGTTGACACAACAAGAGATATTAACCAGGATGATATTAACCATGATTATTGCTTACTTACCAAAGTGTTGGTGTGCCTTGTACAGATGGTGAGTCATGGGAAGAGCATGATCCAAATCAGGCAGCCAATTCCGGTGAAGACAATTCAGCAAATGAAGGTGAAGCTGCCCATTCTGTAGCTCGACAATTGGTGCATGTGTATGACTCAGACGATGCAGACACCTCCGATGATGAATACCATGAAGCAAGGAACAACCTTCGAGCTTACGGTGAGATGAGAAAAAGAAAGGTGAAGACAAGGGTTGTTGGTCATGGGGAGGAGGTGGAACAGTTGGATGAGTTCGAAGAGGTGGATTCTGAAGATGGAGAATCTTTAGATGAGGTAGAAGAAGGAGGAGGTTTAGAGAATGACAATGTAGTAGAGGGAGGTGAAGCTTCTGAAAATCAGCAAGCACCTCCAACTGAGCAAGCACGTAGGGAGACATCAGCCCATTCGAGCTATAGACTGTCTGAGGAGTCTGACCACGTGCGAGGCAACTTATCCGACGAGGCGAGTGCTGATATATTCGACTATGCACCACACTATGATCCTGAGTGTGACCGCAAGAAGTTGCAGTTCGTTGCTCGTATGAAGTTCGAAGATCCGGAGCAGTTTAAGAGTGTTGTAGTGTTGCATTCCGTAGCAGCTGGGGCATGTTTGAGGTGGGTTAGGGTTAACCCTTCGAGGTTAGAAGTGAAGTGTAAGGACAAGAACTGCAAATGGCGAGTTTATGCAAGCTGGTTTAGGAAGAAACAATCCTTCATGGTGAGGAAGGTGGGGCTGCCACACTCATGTTCGAGGCAGCTCAGGGTTAATCAAGTGACTGCCAAGTGGATAGCCAAAGATATGTTGGATAGGTTCAGGATCAATCCAGAATGGGCACCAGATCAAATCATGGCCGAGGTGAAGTTGAAGCATAACATTGATGTGAAGAGAAGGACGTGTTACAGGGCTAAGGTGGCAGCCATTAAACTCCTTCGTGGATCGTTGAAGGATGAGTACAAGAAGGTACGGTCATACTTGGGTGAGCTGAAGAAACGAGACCGGGATGGGAGGTTTGTTCTAGAAGTTGAGCCACATCCTACTCAAGAAAAGGTCTTCTTCCAGAGAATGTTTATCGGGACAATTGTGAAGTTTAGGGGGATGAGGTTAACGACATGCTAGAGGGGATTAGGTTGTATATGATGGATCGGTTCGTTATCAAGCACACTATGTTGATGGATACCCGTGATCTGTTATGCCCTAGAATTAGGAAGAGGGTGGAGAAGGAGAAGGAATGGTCGAGACTGTGTATTGCTAGGCAGACCTTGGATTCCAAATGTGAGGTCAAAATGGGTGATTCGGGTTACATTGTTGACCTCAATGACAAGAGTTGTACCTGTGGATATTGGAAGTTGAGTGGCGTGCCTTGCTGCCATGCGGTCTCAGCAATATCCCACTTGAGAAAGGAAGTGGATGATTATGTTCATCCTTGCTATCATACTCACCATGTGTCTGAAGGCTACAAGGTCGGCATTCCTTGCTTAGATGGCAGGCAAGCTTGGCGAGAAGGGATGGGACTTCCAGTACACCCTCCCAAGCAAAGGGCCATGCCGGGCAGGCCTAAGAAGAACAGGAGAAAGGCTGCACACGAGTTAGAAACTCGACCACAAAGGAATGGAGTTGGAGAAGAGGTAACTAGAAGGGGCAGTGTAATACATTGTTCAAAGTGTGGTGGTGAGGGGCATAATGCTAGGGGATGCAAGGCTTCTACTGCTGACTGTCAGGTTAGTGCAATTGTCATTTTCCCTCTTTTTGACTTTTGGTAATGTTTTACTAACATGGAAACTCTGATTTTCCTTGTAGGCCTATACAAGAGCTCGAAACACAACTCCAGCTGCTACGGGGAGGCCTACTGCTATTGCAGGAGATGGAATTAATATTGCAGCCCCTACTGCAGATGGTGGGAACCACAATACTGACCCTACTACAAGGAAGAAGAGAGTCGCCCATTGTTCGAAGTGTGGTAGTGTCACACATAACGCGCGAACTTGCCCTCTCAACCAAGGTGCCGGAGTCCAAGTAAGTATAATATGCTTTTCATAATGCAGAATGTAGGATGTTAATTGAACAAATCTGAAATGCAATAACTTGTCACCATGTAGGATATTAGATTGAACGTTGGTGATCGAAGGACGATTGAAAGAGAGATGCGAATTGCAACAAGTGGGGTGGGAGTGTATGTAAATGAGGCTACTGGAAATACTTATGTGAGGGTAAGTATTAGGATGAATGTTAATTCCTGTTAGCATGAACATGAATGCTTGACTTACTTTAATTGTGAATGCTTGCTGGATTCTTAATGGTTTGTTAATTGTGATAGCTTGCCGGAGCACGAGGGCGTCCTGTTGGTGGTAGTCAGCCCACTGAGGTAGACATGCAAGGAAGCCAGCCCCCTACAATGCAACCTTAGACTACCAAACTTAGCATGGGTCACTTTTTATTTGAATATGTCGGTTATAATGACCTCCGTGGAGGATTTTTTTGGGTATGTGACTCATGTAATCAGCCGGCATTGGAACATTATGTTAGGAACAGATGTTAGGGTTTTAAAACTTATGTAATTCAGGTGAACTTATGTTATTTATTAGAAGTAAAGACTTGTGTATTTCAGATGAAATCCTTGGTCTAGCACACTATGCTTATTATGGTGCTACCCTATAATGTCATTTGCATAGTAAGAAACAGAAACAAACCAGAAACAACCCATCTTTTGCGTACTAACTCTGTCAACATTAGAATTTAGGTCTCTTGTTTAACCATTGAAATACAAACTGCCACATAATGCTACAAAACAACTCAAACATGAAAGATCGCCTACTAATACATACCCCAACGGTTCATTAACATGACCACAAGTAACAACGCATTCAACAGAACAACAACAATGAACATTTGTCGAATTACAATAACATCTTGGTTAACCCTCCTCAACTCTTCCTCTATAATTTTTCTCTCCTTCTTCCTCCTCTCTGCCTTAGCCTCAGCCAACCTTAAACTCTCTTGAAGCCTCAATATTTCTCTCCATTCATCCACTTCATCCACTGCTGCCCCTTCCACCCACATAAAGAATTTGCAATTTTTACTTGGATCCTGTAACAACACCTTCTATAGTCACCAATCTCATCTCATAATGAATGAATTACAAATGGGAAAGCAAATTCAACTTTATCTTCCAATGTGGACAGCCGTAGAATATTCTGCCTGACTTCCTGCTTCTGTTAGTCACACAAGGCGCATTGTGGTAGCAAGCGACTTCCCCAAGGCTATTTTGAGCATTTTCGCTTCTCGAAGAGGAAGCGCCCCTTTGAGACATGATGAGAAGGAGCAGCGGAGCAGCGGCTACGGTGGAGGTCGGTGTGGCACGGAGTCGCGGTCGGCTCGAAAAAGGGGAGGCGGGGTCGCGCGCGAAATAGCGGAGGCGGGGTCGAGTTGAAACACCGGAGGCGAAGGGGTTACAGTTCAGAGGAGGCGGCGGGCCTCTTTTAATCAGCGGCCGCGGTTCAGAGGAGGCGGCGGTGATGGGTTCTGAAACCCTAGATTCAATGGGTGGAGTGAAAAGGGAGGAGGAAGGAGAACGAGGCTCTGGTCCCCGATTTTAAGTCTGCCAATTTTTTTTTTCATTTAATGACGTGGCGTCCTACATGTCACTGAAATATGAGGTGTAAGCGACGGAGAGGCTGACAAGGCAGCCAAGTCAGCAATCCATTTATTCCACTAACGGTGTCACTAACACCGTTAAAGAATGTAACGGAAATGACTATATTTGTCATCAAACATTCAAATTTCAGGCTATATCTGGTATTTCGCCAAAAATGGCTATTATTGTCACAAACGTCAAAGTTTTGGCTATGGAAGTGTATTTTGCCTTTTTTTTTCCTCATAAGAAACCTGCCACCACCATAGCTTGTTGCTTGTTTCTGTACAGGATGGAGCAATCAGCTCAGGAGGACAGAATATCACAACTCCCCGACGAAATCATCCACCGTATACTATATCTCTGCAACTCCCCTGCGACAGTTGCGAGTTCGAGCACTCTGTCGAGAAGATGGCTCCACCTCTGGCGCACGTACCCTGTCCTGGAATTTTGCCTTTGTGTGAGGATCTTGCTTTATTAATCTGGCGAAATGGAAGAGAACAGAAGAAGAGGAGAAGGAGTTACAGGGAAATGGCTATCTATTGCTATAGTCTAAGAGAGTCTAACAGAATGAGAATTGGTCAAAGATGATTACAAGAGGAATCAACTCTTCTATTTATACATTCTCGAACTGTCTCCTGCTTAGCTGGCAATCCTCTGTAGTAGCCTGGACATTACAAATCCTCCCTCTTCAAATTCAGCTTGTCAAGCTGGAAACGCAGGAAAACGAGCCTTGAATGACTGCAAGTCTTCCCAAGTGGCATCAGCAGGAGATTGATGCGTCCAGTGTACCAGAATCTGAGAGCACTGTTCTGCTCCTCCACAAAATGGCGGACAAGGATGGTCTCTGGTGTCAACTTTGGTGTGCCATGATCATCCACTTCAGGCAGCTCAGTCGCAGCAGGTGGAACGATGAGCAAGCAACGTTTCAACTAAGAAACGTGAAACACCGGGTGGATTTTGGATGACCTCGGAAGCTCCAATTCATAAGCTACTTCCCCCCGCCGAGCCAAAACCTTATAAGGACCAAAATAACTAGGTCCAAGCTTGCTGCCCTGCCTCCCCACTACGGAGCCTTGTCTGTATGGTTGAAGGCGTAGATAGACAAAATCACCCACCTTGAAGACACGCTCCGACCTGCGTTTATCTGCAAATTGTTTCTGCCTATTCTGTGCTAAGGTCAGAGTATGCTTTAAGAATGCAACTTCATGATGATAGGCCTGCAGACGTTCTTCCACCGCCCCGACCGAAGAAGAAGAAGAACTGAAGAGACCAAAGTGATCCGGAGGGAAGCCATAGAGAGCCTCAAAAGGAGAGAGTTGGATACTCACATGGTAGTGCGTGTTATAACACCACTCTGCCAATATCAACCAGTAGATCCAATCTTGAGGCTTGTGAAAGGTCATACACCGAAGATAATCTTCAAGACAACGATTCACCCGCTCCGTTTGTCCATCCGTTTGTGGATGGTACGCCGTCGAGTAATGGAGATCAGTATTATGCAGCCTGAAGAATTCTGTCCAAAAGCCCCCAGTAAAGGTAGAGTCACGGTCCGACACAATGGTGGCTGGCATACCATGATGCTTGAAGACACCATCAAAGAAAGTCTGAGCAACTTCAACAGCTGAATAAGGATGTTGCAGAGGAAAGAAATGGGCGAATTTAGTAAAACGGTCAACCACCACCAGCAGGACATCCTTCCCTTTTGATTGCGGCAGCCCTTCAACAAAATCTAAGCTGATATCCTTCCAAGCTCTATCGGGAATGGGCAGAGGCTGCAAGAATCCTGGAGAAGCCACTGTCTCTGCCTTGCACCTTTGACACACATCACACTTCCCAATCCATGCCGCAATGTCATTCCTCATACCCTTCCAAAAAAAATAAGACTTCAACCTTTGGTAAGTCCCCTGCACTCCGGAGTGACCCCCTACTGGTGATGAATGAAACAGCCTCATCAATTTCTGGCGCATGAACCCATTCGCTCCCACAACCACCTTGTCCTTGAACCTTAAAACCCCATGCGAATATGACCATAACTGTGGTCCTGTATTCTGAGAAGCAGCAGCAACAATGTGATGAGAGAGCTCCACGTCACCTTCATAAGTTGCTTCAATATCAACTAACCACTCAGGAAGAACGGTAGAAAGAGCATTGCAATCACCCAATTCCACCTGGTCGTCAAACACCCTAGAGAGTGCATCTGCTGCCCCGTTATACTTCCCTCGACGATATTTGATGTGAAATTCCAGCCCCATGAGTTTGATTAAACCCTTCTTTTGTATTGCCGTATGTACCTTCTGTCCAAGCATGTACTTTAAACTCTCATGATCAGTAATAATCTCAAATGGCCTGCCTTCTAAGTAGTGTCGCCAATGATCCACAGCCATTAATACCGCCAAATACTCCTGCTCGTACGTACTGCGCCCTTGATTTCTGATCCCCAAAGCTTTGCTAAAATATGCCAATGGATGGCCCTGCTGAGATAACACAGCCCCCACACCCGTACCACAAGCATCAGTCTCCAAGGTAAAGGGTAAGTCGAAATTGGGTAAGGCTAGAACTGGGCTGAACTCAATGCCCTCTTTAATGCTATGAAAGCTTCTTCAGCAGCTTGGGACCAGACAAAACCATTCTTCTTCAATAACTCTGTCAAAGGCCGACTAATTGTTCCGTAATTACGCACAAATTTCCTGTAATATCCCGTAAGATCCAGAAATCCACGGAGAGACTTGACAGACTTTGGTCGCGGCCAATCTATCATAGCTGCAATCTTCCTCCTATCAGTAGCCACACCTCCTTCCCCGATAGTGTGACCCAAGTATTCAACTTGCGGTTGCCCAAATGAACATTTAGAGAGTTTAGCAAATAACCTGTTGTCTCGCAACAGCTGCAGAGCAATGGAGAGATGTTGTAGATGCAACTCTGGAGAGGCGCTATAGACCAGAATATAGTAAAAAAAAACGAGAATGAACTTCCTGAGATACGGACCAAACACCTTGTTCATCAGAGCTTGAAACGTCGCAGGTGCGTTCGTCAACCCAAACGGCATCACACGAAATTCATAGTGACCTTGGTGAGTGCGGAATGCCGTTTTATACTGATCTTCTGGCTTCATTCGGATTTGATGATAACCCGATCGCAAATCCAGCTTGGAGAACAGACGAGCCCCATGGAGTTCGTCGATCAAATCTTCAATAATGGGTATGGGAAACTTGTCCTTCACCGTAGTCGCGTTTAGCTCCCTGTAATCCACACAAAACCTCCACGTACCATCCTTCTTGCCAATCAATAAAACAGGAGAAGCATATGGGCTATGGCTGTCCTGTATGAACTCAGATTGTAACATTTCAGCAACCATCTTCTCGGCTATTTCTTTGTGGTGGTGAGGGAATCTGTAGGGACGAATGTTTACGGGTTTGGAATTTGGTTTAAGAGGAATGGAATGGTCTAGAGCTCTCGGTGGAGGGAGAGAAGATGGAATGGAGAAGACATCTGAGAAATCGTCGAGTAAGGGTTGAAGAAAGGGTGGAGGGGGAGAGGGATCCAACGCTGGTTCTAAGGAGAAGAGCATTCCGGTGAACTGCGTAACTTTCTTCTTCATCAGCTGTTGAAAGGAGCGGCCCTTCATCACTCGACAATGGGCTTCATCCGTCAAGCCTTGTAGAGTAATGTTTCGGCCCTGCCACTCAAAAGAGAGACGACGTTGCTTCAAGTCCAGCTGGATTGGGCTCACAGATTCCAGCCAATCCCAGCCCAAAATGAGGTCCTGATCCCTTAATTCCAGAGTCCGTACATCGAGGGCGAATTCCTTGCCCTGCATCTTCCAGCGGAAACCCTCGCAAACGGAGTCGCTGATGATCAGAGCACCCGTTGCGCCTTTAACTCGCATCGGCGGCGCCGCCGTCAACTTGCACTTCGATTCAGCAGCCTTGGCGGAGCGGATGAAAGTATGGCTGCTACCAGTATCGATCAACACCGACAAATCAACTTGTCCAGCCCTCGCCTGCATTTGGAAAGAGTTCCCTGCGCGATCGATTGGAGCGAAACCTCCAACTCTGGACCAGAGGAGTTGAGATCCACAATCTCATCGTCGCTACCAGTGGAATCAACCTCTGCTTCCATCAATTGAAGATGTTGTTTCCTTTTCGCACACACATGACCATAGAAGTACTTATCACCGCATTTGTAACAGAGGCCTTGACCCCGCGGCACGGAAGATCGATCCAAGGAAACTGTGGACGAGGACTGAGAATCCGGCTTCTTGCTCGTGGACGGTGGAACCGCCTCCGGCCAACGCGAAGGAAGGCGTGACTTCTTCTTCCTAGCTTCAATCGCAGCCTCTTGCAAACGAGCCTGATAGAAGGCGAAGCCGAGAGTGATAGGATGCAGCACTTGGACCAAGGGTTGGATCTCGGCATCTAAACCGCCAATGAAACTCATGATGAAGTATTGTTCACCGAGTTCCGGATTGAGATGGAGCATTCGCGATTTGAGGTTCTCGAACTCCTCCTGATAGCGAGCCACAGATCCTGTTTGGCGGAGATGATTGAACGCGGCGACGACGTTGAGCTGATCGTGATCGCCGAAGCGATGAAGGAGCTCCTCCACAAACGCTCCCCACTCCAATGGATGACGACGATAAGACCAACCGTCATACCAGGTGTGAGCGCGACCTTCCAAAAAGAAAGATACGAGCTCGACCTTCTAATCATCCGGAATGGAATAGAGGGAGAAGAGCTTGCTGCATTTGGTCACCCACACATGTGGATCGGTGCCTGAGAAATAGGAGAAATCGAGTCGGGGATAGCGATCGGCGATCGTCTGCCTTCGCTGGTACGATTCGCCCGGGTCCGTTGAAGAAGAGGCCCGAACCGGCGACGATTGGCTGAGCTTTTGCACAAACGCCGAAAGAGCAGCAATGGCATCCTCCATCCGTTGAGTAGATGAATCAATCTTCTGGTGGACGGTCTTCATCTGTTCTTCCAGCTCCGAGAGACGAGAATTTTGTGTCGCCATGGCCAGATTTGGGGCTCTGATACCACTTGTGAGGATCTTGCTTTATTAATCTGGCGAAATGGAAGAGAACAGAAGAAGAGGAGAAGGAGTTACAGGGAAATGGCTATCTATTGCTATAGTCTAAGAGAGTTTAACAGAATGAGAATTGGTCAAAGATGATTACAAGAGGAATCAACTCTTCTTTTTATACATTCTCGAACTGTCTCCTGCTTAGCTGGCAATCTCTGTAGTAGCCTGGACATTACACTTTGGGATTTCCTACTGGTGAACGGCGACTTAAGGGTCAAGTTCGGCAGCTTCGTCGCAAGTTCTTCGAAGAGGCTGCTGGCGCAACAACAGAAGCCGCCTCCTCGGCATCCGTTGTTACTGGAGGCCGTCAGGATATGGGCCTTAAATTCCCAGCTTCACGATTGTGCTGAGACCCTTGAGAATTATAATTTGGTGGACTTATCTGCGATTGAGATTGTCGTCTGCCTCCCCAATCCGCAGAACCCAGTGTTCTCTTTGGATATCAGCCGCACAAGAGTGCTCGATCTCCTCCATGTCAACCTGGATACTCTGAAAATTCCTGCCAATGTTGGCTTGGAGCGTCTAGAGGTTCTCCATCTCTACTCTGTAACGCTGAAGTCCGAAAACGATCTCAGTATCCTCACCTCATTATGCAGTGCTCCTAATCTGGTGACCTTGAATTTGAGGTTGAATTGCCAGGCTCGTGAGCTCAAAACAAGGCTGGAAAATTGTCCCCTCCAAGAAATTGAAATCCTTGGAAGTTAAGTGCTTCAATGGCCCACCGGAACTCAGCATCATCTCAGCCCCTCTCCTCCACACTCTGGACATCGACGTACCAGATTCCCAAGTCAAGCTCCCCGTAGAATCTTCTTCTTCAGCACCCAGTGTTAAAGTTTTACGCCTTCAATACTACAAGCACTCGCCCTTCACTCAGTCTCATCTTGATCACTTGCTCCGCAACTTCCCGTCGCTCCGGTATCTTTTTTCTCGCAATCGGCAGCTGTCGCGGCTTTGGGGTGGAGATGCCGGATTGCGAGTTCTAGCCTTCGGGAACTAGTAATCCTTGCTCTGTGCAGCAATTCGATTCCTTCGGGAACTAGTAGTCCTCCTGCGGCCACCCGGATTCGAAACCCATGAATCAAAATTTGTTTCTGGGATTGAGGGACTTGGTGCTGAAGCTTAACAAGTTACACAACTTGCAACAGGTTCGTATGGACTCTAGTGTTTACATTTCTTGATCATGAATAGCAAATATCATCATCCTTCGCCATATTTGTGGTGTTCTCGTGCAACAGATTCAACTAGTTTAATTCTACTTTGATTTGGTATGATCATCAGTTGGTTTCCGGCTTCTTATACTTTGATTTGGTGCAGGTGACATAATTTGACTCCGATCCTCCTTTGGTTGTTGAACGTTTGGAGTTGGGGACGGTTGTTCCGAAAACATTTGATGTGAAGAAGGGAGGTGGTGCTCTTCTTGATGGCCTTTTTCCGAGTTTGTCACCCTACATTTCTGTTGGTGACCCGACGTAATAATGAACCCTTGTTTTTTGTAAGTACATTCATAATTTATGCTCGTGCGTAATGCAATGATATTTGTTTGTTGAATTTGTCTCACTTTAGTAGTATATATATTTACCACTTTTATTTTGTTTTGGTTAAAACAGTGCATTTGCGAGCAGCTTCTGAAGAGAGACGATTTTGGCAGTTGTTGTAATGATTTCAAATGTTGGCGCCATCAACTGAAGAGTGTGAAAATAAATAGCGATATTGATGATGAGATGATTGAGATTTCCCAAAGTGTGGTTTCCTTCATCCAGAAGAAAAAGAAAGTTAGTTTTATGTTGAAATGGTTTTAGTTAGATTTGTGCCGAGATTTTTATGACACGTTTGTGTCGTCTATATAGGATGTTAAGCATTCAATTTAGGGCTCGATTGGATAATGGATTACAGAAATGAGGAAATTTGACCTAATTATGTTGAAATTGCTTCATCTCATAATTGGTTGCATTTTTTTCAAAATACTTGCCCTTTGTCAATTCAAATTGATTCAAAACGAAGCAATTCAAATTGTCTCAGTCCTATTGATGCATTCCTATAATGTGTTGCCAGTCAAAGCAACTTATCCAATTACTTCATTTTGGGGAATTTAGGACAAATTGTCTCATCCAATTTCATAACCCAAACAACCCCTTAGGTCCAAAATGGTGTAGGCCAACGAATGTGACATTTAGGAGAAACCCCTTTGCCTAATGGGGCACCTTAGGGCTCTTAGAAGTTAGATCTGAATTCTGCTCTGGTCTTTATAAGATTTGGTTTTTACATCTTATGTGTTGTGTAATTATTTAATAAATTGTCACAGTGAGATTTGGTTTTTACGTCTTAATGTAATTATTTCACTTGTTGCAGTTTTGTTTTTGCTTACTCTCTCGCTCTTTTGATCGGTTTCCTTTATTCCCATTTATTAATGTCTAGAGTCCTGATTTTGCTTTGATTACTTGGTGCTCTATGTCTGCTTATTTTGACAATTGATTCCCATTCCTTCTCATTTGTAGTCTATGTAGAATTTGACATCATTAACCTGAAAGCCTTAGCCGGTGTCTTCTGTCCATAATTCTTAGTTTGTTCGTTGATTTGTTGATGTGCTTGTAGTAGCTACTTTAGTAGAGGTACCGGAAAAAGAAAAAGAGAAGGGTTGGTGTCGGAATTTCGTTTCCTGCTTTGCTGCCATGGTGTGACTTGTGAGCTTAGCTAATCTGACATTGTTCCTGCTCCACAAAAGCTATTTCTGCGCGTGTTTTCCGGCGAGGAAAAACTCTTGTGTTTGATTTCAATTAATGCACCTTTGACTTTTTGAATAACGATCAATTACACGGTTCATACCTCTCCGAACAATGTTCGAACGAGGGTGTTTGATGTTTTTGATGGTTTTTGGGGAACAACTTACGTTAAATTACCCTACTCCTATGAAGGTTCAGTGAGAGCTCCAAAACTAAAGACTGACTAATTTCCAGAGAAAAGATAAAATTTGACATAGTGTGTCAAATATTTGGTTGTGGAACCCGTTTACAATCTTAGTTTCTCCTATTTATAGCCACTAGGTGTAACTGCCTTGGTAACCACCTTGCTGACTACTAGCTGGCCTCTTGCTCCAAACCGCCTCGGGGTCCCTTGTCACCGTCTTGGTGACTAGTTGGTAACCGTCTCCTTGGGGGCCCTTGTGCCGACTTGGGGCTGGTGGGAACTTGATGGTCTCGATGTCGGGCCGGGTTGGTGTTGAGCCTTGTCGCCCTGTCATGACTGAATAGGGTTGAGCCTATTTGCCTTAGCCTCCATGATGAAGTCTTGATCACATCCTCGACAGCCCTGACGGCTCCACGCTCCTCATCTTGCTAGCCACCTCGATGAACCGTCTTGATAGCTAGGTCATATTACCCACCTAGACAGGATGAGAACTTGGCCCTTTACTCCCCAAGTCTCCACACTCAGTCTTAGAGAGACTATCATGGCACCAACTTGTCATCTTGGTATCAAGCCAATCTTGTCGGCTTGATACCCTTGCTACCAAGCCAGCCCTGTCGGTTTGGTCTCCATACTTAGCTTCTGCAATCTTATCAAGTTGGTACATTGCACCCTGCCGGCTTGGTACCCCGTTAGGGGCCACCAAGCCCATCTTGGGACTTAGTCTTCATATAGTCCTCCTAAAGGGCTCTACATCATGTTCATGATGACTTGGTACCCAGCCGGGTAGTCACCTCAAATGGCCACCTTGTCACCTCCTCATCGGGTTGGCACGCTTTGATCTACATACTTAGTTTTTTGGGAGGTCTGGTAACCTGATATCAAGTCTGTCTTGTCGGTTTGATACCCTATAGGGGTCTTTGTACCAAGGCTGCCTTGCCGGCCTGGTACCCCCTTAGCTCCATACTTAGCCAAATTCATGTTTTTCATGTCTTGGTACCAAGCCCTGCCTTGCCGGCTTGGTACCCTTAGCCTACCAAGCCTATCTCGCCAGCTTGGTACACTGTTGGCTCAATACTTAGCCAATTTTCATTTCTTTTGGTATCAAGCCTGCTTTGTCGGCTTGATACCCCTTTGGCTCCATACTTAGCCAAATTCCATATTTGGGTACCAGAGCTATCTTGCAGGCTTGGCACCCCCTTAGAGCCATACTTAGTTTTTTGGATGACCCCTATTTGGTACCCGGTCGTTTGGCACCCCGTTGTGTCGCCTTGTTTCTAGACTTAGTTTTTGGATAGCCCCCTATTTAGTATCCGGTCGTTTGGCACCCCGTTGTGCCGCCTAATTTTAGGCTTAGTTTTTGGGAGCCAAATTTCATACCAAGGGGTGGAGGCATCGTTCGGCTATGTTGGCCAAGGAGACGGGTTGACAATTGTATAGGGAAGAAGGGGTTTGGCCACTTAGGCCCAAAAACCCAACCCAACAAAGCCCTGCTAGCTCTTTTAATTATTAATGTTGAGCTGGCCTTATAAATCTATTAAATCTATTGTAGCTAATAGATGTGGTACAAACTGATTTTTTTATGGGTAAACAAATGCCCCCACAACTTAGTGTATAAGAATTATGCACTAAGTTGTTGAACCCAACTCGATCACTTGGGAGATTAATTGGATTCCATCATCCCAAATCCAATCAGAAAATCACGGTACTACACTAATTCGGGCCTAAATGTACACTTTTTATCCCCGTTTCTCTTAGTCGTTTGTGGTATTTGAGCTCTTAGAAGGGTGATTTTACGCTAGGTTTGTTGTGTTTCAATATGTTTCAGAGTCTAACAGGTGAAACCAACCCCGGAGTGGAAAGTTGGAAGAAAAGGAGTAAAGACCGGACAAAGAAGAGGATCCAGCCGCAGTTCACGGTTAGAGCTTGGCGCCCGTGAACTAGAACCACAAACCGTGAACCGAAGGGAGTCCAGAGGATTTCCAGAGGTTACTGATGCTGTGACAGTTCACGGTCGTAAGACCGTGAACTGAAGCCATTGATCGTGAACTCGATAAGTGAAGCGGCGTGTTTTGATCTGTGTTCACGGTCCCGGCCTGATGTTCACGGCCGTGAACTGGGCGTGATCTGTGTATAAATGGAGAGTTGAAAGGAGGAAAAAGGAGAGAGCCCAAAGTGAGAGAAACCTTCTTCTTCTTCTTGAAACTCTAGAGAGATAAAGTCACGAACCAAGAGAGAGAAGAGGCTAGGGTTTGCTCCAAGCGAAGATTTTGGAAGTTCCACTTCAAGAGAGGATCTCTGCAAGCACAAGGAGAGTGGGAGGCATCACAATGATGGTTTCTTTCTTCTTCCTTTGTCTAGCATGGAGTAGTCTCCCTTTTCACTTGGGTGTTGTAGAACCCTAACTTCTACCATATAATTGATTGTGTGGATTGAATGATTGTGTGATGGTGGTGTTTAATTTAAGTATTGAGGTATTTTTCATGGTGATTGTGCATAGTGTGCTTGGCAATCTATTGTGCTATTCTAACCTAGCTTAGAGAGAAGCCATCTTATATTAAGAGGCTCAAATTGAGCTGGGTTTTCTTAGGCATTTCATGCCTCCTAACTAGGTTAATGTAGGACAAACCTCTAAACTTGAATTAGACACATAGGTTAATTGTGATTGTGCTGTCCAAAACTTGGTTTGAGGGAGAAGGTAAGTCAACCCTCAATTGTTTGGGCCAAGAGGGCTACAATTGTAGCCTATAATGCTTTCCTTGGCCTAGAAATTGAGAGGATGGTTTCTAACCATTGTTGCATCTCCTATGGTTCACAATTGCCTTATCGCACACCAATTCATTCGATCTCACGGTTCATGGTAGTTAGTTAAGGGGAAGCAACTCCCGAGTGAAGCTTCTCACCAAGAGTTTTCCAACCCTTTTAATTTTCAAGTCCTGCTTTTCAATAGTAGATAGATTTCACAAACAAGATTTCGCTTAGATAATGTTTCAAACAATTAAAGTAGGGGTACATGAGCCGGTCTGGGTTGATATTTAAACATACTTTCCCTATATTGCACCTATTTAAGGTTTATACTTCGGCCTTAGGTGGGATTCTAGTGTGATATTCGGGTTCGAGTCAAGTTTTTGGCGCCGTTGCCGGTGAGCTTCGGTCCGTTATCTTGAAAATATTGTTCGGTATTAATCTAGCTTTTATTTACAGTTTTGATAAGTTAAGATTTTGCTTGTGCTAGACGTGTTGTGTTCTTTTAAGTGTTTGTAGGGAGGTGTATGACCCGGAGCAATCCGAGACCTTTAACGTCACTAGACGAGAACATCAACCGGACTCTCTTACTTTTGGCTCGTGAGAGGGAGCTAGCCGAAGCAAGAAGAAGAAGTGAAGAGAGGGGACAACAAGTTGGTCCCGGAGTTGGAGGAATTGAAGTTGAAATGGCGGAGAATCAACAGCAAGGAGCTGCTCAGCCTCAAAACCAAAACGAGGAGGCGACAGCTGAGGAAGCACCAAGAACTATGGCTACTACATGGCCCCATGGGTGGAAAATATCCAATCTCCCATCTTACATCCATCCGTGGCCGCCAACAACTTTGAAATCAAGCCCGCCCTCGTGACGATGATTCAAAACAACGCCTTGTTTCATGGGATCACAAGTGAATCACCAAGGGAGCATGTTCAGAGGTTCCTTGAGCTTGCGGGAAGTTTGAAGATAAACGGTGTCCCTGCGGAGGCATTACAATTGAGGCTATTCCCCTACTCTCTTGCGTGGAAAGTGCTCCGATGGCTCAACAACCGACCGGCTCGCTCAATTATCTCGTGGGATGATTTGCTCAACAAGTTCATGACTCAATATTGTCGTCCTTCCAAGACGGCCGAGTGGAGGAAGAAGATCTCACACTTTGAGCAAGAGGAAGATGAGACATCGAGGGATCCATGTGAAAGATTCTCCGACTACTTCCTCCAATGCCCTCACCATGGATTCGAGGAGAAATTTCGGATAGAGACTTTCTATGGAGGTCTCATGCATGATGACAAGATCCTTATCGATTCTCTTTGCCAAGGGAGGTTGATGAACATGACCCCACCTCAAGTGACCGAGTTGCTCGAAGATATGGCTCTTAAAGGATATGATTGAGTCTTAACGAGGAGTGGTAAGAGAAGCACCGAAAGAGGAGTGCAAAGTGTGGGAGTAAGTGCTCCACTTGAAGCTAAGCTTGACAAGTTGATCGAGGTGATCCTTGAGGACAAGAAGCAAGGGAAGAGAGCGGTGATGTCTTGTGATTGGTGTTCTACCACTAATCATGAAATTGAGGATTGCCAAGAGATGAAGAAAACAAGTACCCCGAGGAGCAAGTGAGCTTCATTGCCAATGCTAAAGGGAACAACCTTTATAGCAATACCCACGTCCCACAACCCCAAGTGGCGCAATCATCCCAAATTCGCTTGGTCGTCCCCTACCAATCTAAGACCTCCCTGTTTCCAAGGTCCAACGGGCAACTATCAACCTCGGCCAACTTTCATCCAAAAAATGCCTCAATTCCAATGCTCGAACTTCCAACAACCATACCAAGCACAAGGTGGTCAAGGGTTCCAACAACAACAACAAGTCGAAAAGTTTTCTAAACTAGAAGACACAGTCACCACCTTTGTGAGTACAAACTCTTATAAGTTCAAGAAGATTGAGCAATTCATGGATGTGGCAACCTCCAAGTTTACCTCGGTTGAGGCGGGACTCGGAAGTCATCAAGCAAGCCTCCAGAATTTGGAAGTGCAAGGTGGAAGTGGGAAAATTCTGTTATCCGACAGATTTTGTGATCCTGGATATAAGTGAGGATTCTAAGAACCACTCATACTAGGACGGCCTTTCCTTGCCACCGCCAAGGCGTTAATTTATGTAAATGAGGGAACTTTGATTCTGAGGGACGGTGAGGAGAGAATTACTCTTGGAATTGAACCTAAACTTAGGAGCGATGATGAAAAGAAAGGGGAACCGGATGATATGAATGCAAGTGGAGGAGAACCTCTCAAGGTAAACCCCACTATTACTGTTGTTCTTTGTGGTGATGTGAAGCAGGAAAGCAAGGAGGGCATCTCGTCCAAAGAAGGAAGGAAGAGAGCTTGGAGGGAAATGATGAATCACGCTAAGACCCGGAGGAAGGGAAAGGGCAAAGTGAAAGTCGTTGCCCGTTATTGTAATAATTTAAAATGTTGGCTCCATCAACTGAAGAGCGTGAAAATAAAAGGCGGTATTAGTGACGAGATGATTGAAATTTCCAAAAGTGGGGTTTCATTCATCATAAAGAAAAGTAGAGCTGGTTTTGTGTTGATATGGGTAATGGGATTAGTCAGATTTATACAGGGATTTTTATGACACGTTTGTGTTGCCATGACTACAGAGATGTTAAGCATTGAACCTAGGTCCAAAATGTTACCGGCCGGCCAGTGTGACATCTACTAAAGGCAAAACCCATTTGCCTATGGGTGCAACTTAGGGCTTTACGGCCTTGTATGTTGAGTAATTATTCTAAAAATTGTCAACATCTACACTCGACGATTATGAATCACTAGACATCCGATCCAACGATATAGATACGTTCTTACTTCTTACAACGTAAAAGTTCTTTCAAGGAATGCATTAATTTATTCAAATCATAAGGTTGCGTTGTTTTTGTCTAATCAATCATCACAATCTACATACATACAACAAAACATAACACGAGAACTCAGGATGAAACTTTTGTGTAATTTGAGTGCTTGCCTGGGATGTGAACCAGCAACGAACTGTACTTCAAATTACACGTCCAAGTCCTGCCGGGTAGCCAAGCACAATTCATGCACTTCGTTCAGTATCCATTCCTCCCCAGTATGCCCACCAAGAACCAAAACCCTCGTCCCTCCAACCACGCACGTACTATGGCCCCAAGCGAACTTCGGAGGCTGACCGGGAACATTGAGAGCCCTCCACGACGGCTTCTCCTCGGCGGGATCGAGGAGAAACAGTTGTGAAGGCGAATGCAGCCCAGCAATCGACCCGCCAAAGATTATGATCCTCCCACAAGGCATGCTTACAGCTACGTGATCGAGCCTCGGAGGTGGAACCACGCAGTTCTGGCTGCCAGCGCCGCTGTACGCCGAACAATCGAGCTGCCTCCACGCTGGCTTCTCGTCTCCCAGGTCGATGGTGTACGCCTCGCCCGACCTCAGCTGCAAGTGACCACTCTTGGCCAGCCCACCGAACATCATAATCTTCGACCCGCCATACACCGATAGCGAATGTCCCAACCGAGATGGCGGTGTCCATGCTGTAGCAGGAACAATCTCTCGCCAAGCCGGGTTTACGTTGGTGAGATCCAACAGGTATGTATCGCTTAGAAGCACCCCTGCATCCGTGCAACCACCGGAGACGACGAGTTTGGAACCTTCAATCGTGCAAGAGCTGTGCCATGATCTTGGGAGAGGAGGGCTCGTCCCTCCGGAGACTTCCTTCCACGTTGGATGTTTGGCGTCCAAGTCGAGAACAAACACATCATTCAGCAACCCTTGCCTTCCACACCCGCCAAACACCACAAGCGAAGAGCCATTGAAGCATGACAATGTATGACCCCATCGTCCCGGTGGAGATGATTCTACAACCACCCTCTGCCAGGATGGATTCGCCGCGTCTAGATTGAGGACGAATGTGTCGTCCATCGGCTGCATATCAACCCCTTCCCCTCCAAACAACACGAGACGGTTACCACTAACAGCACAAGCACTGAAGTTGCAACGAGACGGCTCGACTGCTCCACCAACTGTCATCTTCCTCCAGCACACAGCTTCGAGAGTGGTGAGCTCCCTAGCCAACCTCCCCCAAGCTAGCTTCTTGGTCATGGACTCCAGAGCACCTGTAACTTCCCTCCCCCATGAGTTCTGGCACACCATCTTCCTCACGTGTTCGTTCTTCGTCAGCAGCCGTATTCTCCTGCAAACCGAACCAATAGATGCCACATCTCTCGGCGTCAAACGTGACAAAATGTTTTGAGCCAGCACTTCATCAGACAACTCGAGAATCCTGCACAGCTCCTGATACTGCTGCGGCTGCTGCTGTTGATGAGGATGAAGCTGATGAGGCTGCAGGTCGTCGCAGGGCGAGTCAAGGAGATGAGTATCGGCATCTGCAGGACGATTTTCCTCATAGTTGTGTAAGTTAATGGAATCGCTCTCCTTGAAAACGGGGTACGAGAGCTGGTCGAGATCGATTTTGGCTTCCAAGAACACTTGGATGCCGATTATGTGGGTGATGGTGCCGTCATCCTCGCGAATTGGAGTAAGCCTCAACCTGTTCACCAATGGAGTTCCGTCCTTGCTGAAATTCAGAAGCTCCCCTTGGAATTCAATGGCTTCGTCAACGCATCTTCTGATCTCGGAAACCACCACCGGATCCACCAGCGGGTGCCGCCGTTGAGCTCGCGGATCTCTGAACTGCAGGAACCGGCTGAAACACAGGGAGACAAAACACAATTCCAGCAATTCAAATTTTCCAATTCATCGAAGCAACATCGCCATTCAAGCAAAAAAAAAAAAAACAGAAATCTGAAGAGGAGAAATCAAATTAATCCTCTCGTAGTCTCAACTTTCCTTCCGAGGAAACTAAACAGAGACGAGAGCGAAAGCAATAAGTAATTACCAATTGCGGCCGAGGACCTCGTGAGCGCGGTAGCCGGTGGAGATCTCGAAGACCTTGTTGACGTAGATGATGGGGAAATCGGGCTCCAGAGCGTCGGAGACGACGAAGGAAGTGGGAGTGGTAGGGTAGAAGAAGGGATTCGAGCTCAAGGATAGCTCGTCAACTTCTTCCTCGGCGAATTGCTGCTCCAACTCCTCCTCCTCTTCTTCTTCTTCTAGTTCGACTGGCTTCTCCGCGCGTTTCTGCCGCTTCCCGCCACAGCTCCGCCGCCCTCTCCGCCCTCCTCCGTCGGCCTGCTTGGATTCCTCCATTTCTTCTCTGATCGACATAGCTTCCTTCTTTTCCGTCCTCTTTTTTGGGTTTCGGCTCTCGTTTGGTTTCGTCTATGGCCCCGCCGGCTGGTGAAATGTATTTAGAAGAAAGGAAGGTGGTTGGAGGGAGAAGCCTTTGGGCGGTGGACGGGTGGCGACCCACCAGATATTTTCTCTTTTCTTTTCTTTTTTTAAGTTTCTTTGTATCGTCAAAGAGGGGAGATATTTAAGCCAAAAAAAAAACAAAAAAACAAAAAAGAGGGGAGGGAGATATTTTGGGTGAGGAGGTTGGAATGAGAAAAGGCTTCTAGTTCTATTAAATTACGAAAGTACCATTGGTGTCTCCACCTGGGGAGAGGGGGCGAAGAAGGTAGTTTGGTAGATAAGAGGAGGAGCGAGGGTAGAAGAGTAAAAGAAGGAGTCCACGTAGGATGAGTGGGAGACACGTGTATCGTTGATAATATCTTGGGAGGGGAAGACAAGAGAGAGGAGGGAAACAAATATCTAGAGAGAAGACAGAAGGAGGGGGGGAATTATATATTATTAAATAAACTCGGCGCTCCATTGTCCATGTCACCTTCCATTCCGATTTCGACGTCGGTCCCTGTTGACTCACTGTTTTTCTTGTTTTGGACTGTTTCCGCCGATGGAAATTTTTTTGGAGAATTATTATATAGAAGATCACCCTATTTTCATCAAGTTGTTGATATGGTTCTAGTCTTTCAAAAATGGTATAATACCTTACTCGAACGAGAGTAGCTAGTGACTCGATCTAGATAAGTCGTAACTCCATCAACGTGGTCCATAAGCAGTGGCGTAGCCAGACATCGAGTCCACTGGGGTCCTTAAATTTTTACTAACATAAATGCTTGCGTACCTGATGAATTTTGAGTTAATCGGGGTCCTTGGTGAGCTAACATCGTTGAGAGTATGGGGTCCTAAACTTGAATTATCGTACTAAAACCTATGTATTTAAAGGGTTTTATTGCCCAATTATTTGCCAAGTGGGGTCCTAGGACCCCTCTCCTCCTTACCTCCCTCCGCCACTGTCCATAAGTCCACTCATTGTACATATAAAAATCCCAAAGTTTCATACGAAGACATGGACAGTCTACAAGGATCGCCTCTATGCCAACTCGCTTGAAGCACTGTTTAACCGGGTCACGTTGACCTTCAACAAATAAGGGCATGGATCGCTTAGCACACTCACGGCTTGTCATTACGACACAATTTAGCAATTTATGAGTTTAAATTACTAAATTAATCAATGGAACATTAGTACATCAACATTACAAGTCATTTGGAGAATGATTACCACTAACAATATCTAAATTCTATCTTATGAGTTGACAAAATTGGTAATTTATAAAAAAAAATATGGGGTGTCCGAATGTCAGATATCAGGAGATCGATGATCGAGTTGGTAATTTATGGAAGACGCAGAGATGTACATAGCAACTCTATATTTTTTTTGTTTTGTCTTCACAAAATTATGCCGTTTGCCGCCTCTTGTGGTGTGTGGCTGGTGAGTTGCCCACGCTGCTGGATCGGATCGCCCACCCAAATCTGGGATTCTTCTTGGAACCATTCCCCCATTTCTGAGTTTTTTCTGTCTTCTTTGATGTTTCCCCATCCATCACCCATATGCTTCGCTCCAAAACAGATATGAAAACAGGGCAATTGGGCCTGAGCTGTCTCGTATGTATTTTTGCAATATCTGATACTTTGTTTTGTGGTTTTGAACATACTGATGCGCTCAACTAGGTTGCTAACCTGTTCAGTTTTAGTTCATCACTAATTGAAACGATAATCTTATCGGTTATCCATTTGTTATCAATACAATATTCAGAGCTACAAGACCTACAAAAGTCATGTCTTAACATCTTTGATACTAATCATATCACTCCCCCATATGATAGTATCAGGGGGAACACACACATGGTTTTATATGTTTTTTAGTTATGGCTAGGGCTGCTAATGAACCAAACCGCTCATGAACGATTCGGCGTCCGACTCGAGAAAAACTTGTTGGATACTCGACTCGTCTTTAACTGAGCCAGCTTGCGAACAAGCTCCCCTGTAAATGAGCCGAGCTTGAGCCATGACATATCCAGCTTGATTGGCTCGCGAACAAACTCGAAAACCTTTTTAAGTGTTTGTTGTTGGTGTCTTGTGAGCCGGGTTCGAGCTCGAGCTCAAGCTACAATCGACATTTTATCAGTTGAACTCGATTTTGCTCGTCAACCTCATTTGGCGAGTCGAACTCAATCTTCTGTTTTTGTAAACTAGTCGAGCTCAAATTTGCCTATTAAAACTGTGTCGAACTCAAGTCGAGCTCGAGTTTGGAATTATTTTAACGAACTCGAGTTGGCTCGGCTCGGATCATTAAGAGCTCTAGTTATGGCCATATGGATTTTGTATCATATCATGTTTCTGTTAAAATAAAATAATTCAAGATACTTCAACTATAATTCTACATTAAATAATAATTAAACATCAATATAATACATCATCTATCGTAAATTCAGAATCCAAATTTCAATACATAAAATTAAAAACAATATCCAGCATCTACATCCCATTATTAAGTACCTTTAGGCTAGACGTCACAATGGCCACAAGACCATCATCATTCAAATACATAAAATAACAAAGACGACTAGGAAGCGAAGTTCTTTCTTTTTAGAGTCAGATAAAGGGTGACTTTAATCTTTGGACTCTTTGACACATTTGAGACTCTTTGTATAGAGCTCTGTAACATGCTTTCTCTCTCTCCTCCTCCAAAAAGCAACACTCACGTAGCATTCACAATATCCACTCCTAGTCTTTCTTTAATTCTTTGTGAGTCGGTTGTTGCTCCTAGTAAAAGTCTTCTTAAGATTCTTTAACACGTCACTAGGACAATCCAAAGTACCACATCGGTTATACAAGGGGAGGAACCCTTGTATATTAGTGTCCACCAATCTCATTAGTACGAGGCCTTTTGGGGAGGACACCCAAGAGTAAAACCGTGTGGGCTTGACCCAAAGCGGACAATATCGTACTAATTGAGCGGCCCAATTTCGACAAGTGGTATCAGAGCCTGGTTCAGTGCGGGGCGGTGGACGTCAGTTTGGTGGACCCTCATTCGGTGACCTCGGGGTTTGAGATCTGCGTTTGGTTTGGTGGATCCAGGAGAGATCCACGTTTGGGCTTGGCGGATTGTTATGGGACAATCCAAGTACCACATCGGTTATACAAGGGGAGGAACCCTTGTATATTAGTGTCCACCAATCTCATTAGTACGAGGCCTTTTGGAGAGGACACCCAAGAGTAAAATCGTGCGGGCTTGGCCCAAAGCGGACAATATCGTACTAATTGAGCGGTCCGGTTTGACAACTACGAACCTCGATGTATCATGATCACCATACTACAACATGAATGGTACCATTTATTTAATACTTCATACGGTGACCAAGAGATAATTAAGTTGACACTATCGATTCATAAATTGGATGGTATCCAAGTATAACGGATGATTACATTACATATGCATGGTATGTAACATGCCCTTTGATATTCTAACCTAAAGGAGACTACTATAATCCACTGCATCCCCCAGCTACCAAGAAAACATATGCATCCAGATCCAGACGAACATATCACAACGTCTCCACGAGATGGAAAATTGAGACCCTATAAGGGTGTCAGTTCGGGTCAGGTTCGGTTATCCAACCCGAAAACCCGAAATCGAAAATCACTAAATCCGAATCCGAACCCGATAAGGACTTGCGGGTTCCGGTTACCCGAAACTCGAAAATTCCTTATCGGGTTCGGGTTTGGTTATAGCAAAACCGAAACTCGAAAACCCGAACGCCTAAAAATACGGGCTGAGTTCTATTCATTGGAGGTTTTTAGCCGGAACCCGAAAAACCGATAAGCAAAACCGAACCCGAAACGAACCCGAACCCGAAAAACCAAAAATGTATATAATCGGGTCGGTTTCGGATAAACTCGAAAAACTGAACACGAATGGACACCCCTACCTATAGTGTTTGTGAAGTCTTGCCAAGTGAGCTGGGATCACGTGTCAATTACCAGAATAGTTCAACTTCAACATAATCCAACGGACACCCTTCCATTTCTTTACTTTCAAATTAATATCTTATTTTGGTCCAAACTATATTCAAACTTTCTATTTTGACTAGTAATTTCTAAAATTACTTCATTGGCCTGAGCTATATGTACAATGCCGTCCACCCCAGGCCACGGCCCAGCCCTCCTCTGGATCCGGAGCTAGTATAGTTCTTATGAGTTTATCAATTTTAGCCATTCGGTTTAGTGTTATTTTATAATAAAATTGTGTGCAAATAGAAAAATGGGTCAGATTAACATATTCAAAACACAATTCTAAATTTAGCCTCGAAATTTTAGCTCCAATGATTCTCCTCTAAAGAAAAACAAACAATGAAACCTAAAATTCTGAAAGTCTAAAACGTAAAAGACTAAAAGAAATATGAGGCTTGTTCCCTTGAAAAATTACTCAAGTAGCTGGTGGACATAGGAATTGACACACAATACAAATTGATTAGTCCATTTATTTGTCTAGTGTTGACATTGCTCGTTTCAACAACTATTATGGAGAGAACCTTTTTCAACAATAATACGGTGAAAATTTATTTGTGTAATAAAATGAGCGATGAATTTTTCGCCGATTGATTAATTATGTAGACTCCATTATTGATGAATTCACTACATTAAAATTTAAAAGATGGACGTGTACTATTGATATTGTAAAAGAAATAATTTTTTTACAGTATCTAATTTTCTAATGAAATGCGGCTCAGTGCTCTACCGTATCCTGGATCCGCCGCTATATATGTATTATACTTCCTTATTTGGCCCGACACGAAATTTTGACAATCAAATTGGACGGTCAACTCCATTGATCGTTAGTCAAGCGTCATGTCACTTGCCACATCAGCACCCCAAAAATAAGAACTTTGGATTTTGGAATGATTTTTTCTTATCCAAATTATTTTTTTTAATTATTTTTTATTAGAAAATGAAATGAA